GTATTAACAGTCAGGACATTCTTATATTCTTATTAACAGTCAGGACAGCCATGGCAGATGCACAACAGAGTATTTCTGATCAATGTGTATTACTGCACAAATCATGATAACAAAACATATTTTACAATCCTTAGAAGAATGCACACTTAAGAATAGCATCTAGAATAGTTCTTGAGTAAAACTAATGGTATGCTACAGTTAACTGACCCTGCGTACACAATTTTGTTCCACCTCATGTACCACATGTGATGTGAATGACAATAAAGAACCTTGAACTGTTGTAGCAGCTGTTGCTGCATTTTCATTTTGCCACTTACCAGTAATTGGCTAGGCATAGTTAGTCATGGAGTTCCTCAGGGTTCAGTTCTTGGACCAATACTCTTTACCTTTTATATATGCTTCCATTAAGTAAAGTTATTAAACAACATGGGATACATTTTCATTGTTATGCTGATGATACACAGTTATACTTGTCCATGAAACCCAATGAATCCAGTCAGTTAAGACTACAAGCATGTCTTCATTCCTTCTTCCTGTTCCTCTCAAACCCATCCGGTCGAAGCAGATGGCCACTTGTCCTGAGCCTGGTTCTTCTGGAGGTTTCTTCCTCATGAGGGAGTTCTTCCTTTCCACTGTTGCCTTTATGCTTGCTGAAGATGAGAATCTGCGATGAAGTAAAACTCAAAGCAGTCTGCTCCTCAGATAAATAGTGTTATTAACTTACTTTTGAAGTATATGAATGTTTCTGTTCAGGGCCCTGAGAGGACGTCTGTTGTGATTTGGCGCTATATACATAAACTGAATTGAAAAACTGTCAATTCTTTTTTTTGTTTCAGAAACAAAAATAGACTGATTAATCAGTCTATCCCTAACAATACACAAATCATATGAAATGGCAGAGCGACCGTGAAGATCAGTTACTGTATATGATCTGTAATTTCTATGATCCTTGGTCTTCCAGGTCCTCCACCAGACCTGAAGTAGCGAGCATCCAGCCTGTGGATGAGGACAGTGCCAGAGGCTGCTCTCGCAGGGCCGTTCTGCAGGCTCTCTCCACCCAGCCCTCCAGACTGACCAGCATCATTTTAGCGGAAGATGTTGGTAAATACAAGAGTCCCTTTCAATCACCAAATTGAGATTAATGCTTAGAGTCGCTGCTGAAGATGATCACTCCTGGTGCTTTGGATTTGTGTCGGCCGCCTTTTCAGTGTGAAACGAGTTAACGAGTGTGCAGCATGCGTTTCTATAAAATGGTAAAATATGGTCTTTTAAAAGATCGTTTTTATTTGCTTTTGTAAAACGAGCACCATTTCCTGTCAGGTGAAAGATTAATGCATATTTCAGTCTCAGTTTATTCAAAAGAAAGAATTCTTTCAGTGAGTGACCATAGATTTCAGATATCACCTATGCAGAGTCAAGTGTTCCTCATGAGTACATTTATTAACGTGTTCTGAAGCCATACAGTGTAAAACATTTGAGGTTTGACTGATGAATCGCATTAAAAAAAGAGAGATTAAAGCGCATTGCAGATAATTAGAAATGATGAAACCAAAGTGAAAGATGCCTTTAAGAACTAATGGGAATCATGAATCATTAAACACAAAAATGATACATTTGAAGACGTGAAAATACTGGCTCACCTAGAATTTGGAGGGATGTGGAATTGATGGACTGTGATAAATTTGGATTCGATCGAGTCAAACTGAATTTGATTATGTAACAAAGGTGTTTTTTGAAGGAATTGGTGTGACTTACAGGTTAAAGAATTGATGATTTAACAGCTTGGCATTAGATAAATATGCTTTTTGTAATCAGAAAAATGACCACAGATATAAGGTGTGCTTGAGGTGCAGCTGAAGGAAGCTTGATGTCTTGTCTCGCAGTGTCATTTTAATATACTCACAACATTTCGTTTTATTTTCTTTTGTTTTTGCATGTCTCTGTGCTGAGAATCACTTGGTCCTGAGTTAATATCCGAGAGCCCCGGTAGTTTAAAAAAAACTTATGATTAAGTTTCAAATGCTTCTTGAATGTTTTATAACCTCGAGCACACACTGTTGTATTCATGTCATGTCCATTAGACAAGGGAGCTTGTTTAGGCAGAGGGATATTTCTTCATCAGTATGATGTGCAAGAGCTACTCTGGTTTTTTGGCAGAAGTCTCTGCACATAAATTTATTTTTAGTGTTAATAAATTATCCTTTATAACATATATTGAAGAGGACCGTTCGTAACACAAATTGTCCCCAACCAATTAATGACCTGTTTATCTAAATATTAACAGCTTCAGTTTGTCTTAAAGTCTATTTGGTGTCAAATGAACGGCCTTAAACCATTTCAAGGTGCCCTCTTACTGTGGACAGAACAGTATCTTTATTCTGCTTCAGGTTTTAAATTATGAAGTAATCCTAAAACTAGAGAAGAATGTCTAATGGTCTGTTTAATAACTATTGCCTTTCTGTTGCACAAAGCCTTATTTCAGTTCTTTCTATTTTTTTTTATTTTTTTTTATTTTAAAATGCTGTATTGCCATCGGAAGCTTGTGCAACGGTTTGAAGAAATAAAATAAAATCAAGGTATCATATTTGATTTTAAACCAGAAAACCAACACATTAGTACTTTCACATTTATCACAAACTTCTCTATGACAAAAATCAAAGTAGTCTGTTCAAACCACAGCCACAGACTTTGATTGTGATCTAATTCAGCCCAGCTGTTTTGCATGTGTGTGTATGATCTCTCACTTGTGCGATAACGCTGCTAACAGCCCAGAAAAGCCACAACATTTGATTGAAATGATAGAATATTCTGCAGAAGTAAAATCAGCCTTAGAGCTATCAATCTCCCCCTGGATATTCCTGGATATTTAAGAAAAAGGATGTTTTAGTGATTATGCCTTTTCCTCCCTCCCTTTTGCAGTTACAGGACAGGTTTTGCGTTGTGATGCAATTGTGGACATCATCAGCGACATCCGGATAGTCTCCACCACCAGAGAGCTACATCTGGAGGACTCTCCGCTGGCGCTTAAAATTCATGCACTGGACTCTGAAGGTGAGATGTTAGCTTTATCACATCGTAGCAACTCTCTAATTGAAGATGAGATGTCTAACTGCAGCCTAACTCTTTCTGTTGATGGCTCTAGATGGTTTGTTTTGTTAGCTTAGGCCAGGGGTCGGCAACCTGCGCATCTGGAGCCACATGCTGCTCTTTGGTTCCTCTGCAGCGTCTTTTTCAAGCTTTGACTAGGCCTGTCGCGATGAACAATAAATCAGTTAATCACATGATAAGTGAAAATTATCGACCTCGTTTTCATTTATCGGCTTTATCGCTTCTTCGTGTCTTTCTACTGAAGACACTGGATGACAAAAGGTTCAACTCCGGTGCTCTTCACTGACTCCTCCCCTTGTCTTTTCTTTAAAATCACGATTTTGGATCAAAATCACGATTTTGGATCGTTAAAAGCAGCTAAACTGAGAAGCTAAGCTACGAGCTAAGCTATCATGCCGACCTCGGGGATAAAACCTCTGTCTTGTCGAAGATCCAAAATTCACGGTTCAAACCTGTGCCTTTGTCTAAAAAGTTGTTTTTCTCTGCAAAAAGAAGCTGAGAACTTGTTTACTGATTTATTTTTATTTTTTAATTAAAAGCTTTGTGTGAAAAATGCTATGCTAAAGAGCTCAAACCACACCAAGCGGCCGCCATTTTGAGAACCGAAAAACAGGAACGAGAAACAGCCCATGTCACGTCAAGGGGCCTCCCTCCCATTTTCTTAAAGAGACACTACTCACTCCCTCACTATCCATCCTTCGGTTCAAACAGTCTTATACTGCCATCCAATGGTCAACAAAGATACTACACACAAAAATTAATTAACATTTCTTATTCAATTTAGATATTAGTAATTATTTTCAAATTTCAAACTATATTATAGTTTATCGCAATAATTTCTGAGACAATTAATCGCCCAGCAAAATTTATTGGGACCGGCCTAGCTTGGACCAAATCTGACATAAAAAAAAATAATTTTATTGTTTATACAAACAACAAAGAAGGATTACCGGTAGTTCAGTTTTTCCCTGTCATTTTTTTGCAAATATGTGAACACTAGAGCGAGTAAAGTAAAAACTGATTTATTTTATTTTATTTTTTCCCCTTGACAAGAATCTGGTATTTGTTGCAGCTCCAGACACGTTTACTAAAGTGAACAAAGACATAAAAATGACTCTTTTGATTGTGAAGGTTGCAGACCCGTGGTTTAGGTGTAGGAATACATTATAGTTTGTAAAATTGCAGAAATGCAGCGTGATCTTAACACATTTACCAGGAGCTAAGGTTTTTGTAACTATTGTGTGTTCCGTCCCAGGTTTCCTATCCCAGTTTTAGTTTGTTTTGGAATTTGTGTAATTAAAGAGTTGCAGTTTAAACTTCTTTTTGTGTGTTTTATTGTAGGAAACACCTTCAGTACTCTGGAAGGTCTGGTGTTTGACTGGACCTTAGTGAAAGATGTGGATGTGAATGGATTCACTGACTCTTACAATTCATTACGGTAATCTTTCTTGTGTTAATTCTTCACTCAGTAAACTGCCAGATGTCACTAAAACGATTCATAAAATGAGTTTGTTGTTGAATAAATACATAAATTTATTTGCATGTCTATGTAGTTGACATTTTGATTTATGTTGAAATTGTATTTGCTTGAAGCCAAATGAAAGAAGACGCTCCAAGTTGTTTTTTTTCCCCTTAAGGGTGCTTAAATTTTCTGAGTCCACATACACTCCTCCTGGATACATATCAGAAATGGAGCGAGTCGGGAAACAGGGCGATATTATCCTGGTGTCAGGACTGAAAACAGGACACGCCAAGCTCAAGGCCAAAATACAAGAACCTCTGTACAAGGTAAACTAAATACAAATGTTTTGTGCATTAGTCTTTACATTTTGTGGCGTTGCATCTAAACCATTTGAGTTTAGTTTGACTCCAACACCCTGAGACACAAATATAAAAATAACTAATGAATACATCATTTTAGAGTTTTGTGGGACACAAGAGTAATGTTGTCAGTTGAGTTGAACTTCACGCTTGTCAAAAAACTGAAATTCATATTTCACTTAATCAGCCTTAATGTTATATGTGAATATTCAATTAAATTTAATTAAAAAATACTTTATTAATCCCAAAGTGAAATTAAATGTTGTTGTAGCTCGTTATCCTCGTTTAATTAGGAGCTGTTACAGATGCTGATGGCTGTAGGCAGGAAGGATCTCTTGTAAAGGTCCGTTCCACAGCGGATCTGAAGAAACCGGCATCAGATACCGTCCACCCAGACTCGGCTGGCTTCTCGGTTCCTCCTGGCAGCAAGACCGCCTGAATGCTGGCCTGGACTCCTCCCAGAGCCATCTCAAGAACCTGAGCGGAGGCCACTCCTTCCAGCAGCCTGCTGTGCTCCTCATCGCTGTGAACAGCCAGCCGGCTGCAGGTGCAGGGGATAATCCTGTCCTGCTGTTACAAGCCGTGTTTCCTGGCGTCTCCAGGATCTCTGTGATCAGGCACTCGAGCACAGCTGGCAAGGAGACGGGAATGCATCTACGGCACCTTCTTTTCAACTTCCATTTGAGAATTGGGGCTGTAGATGAGATATTTGAGATTTTTGAGGTGTTGGTCAGCTGCTCCTGGTTGTAAAAAGAACACCTTGTTGTTATGGTTACGCATCATAACAAATGTCCAAAACTAAAAAAGTTTCAGTAAAAATCCTTCCTGCTGCACAGCATCCGATACCAGAGGAAACAATCATCACAAAAAATGCGATTTACATCCAGAAAAAGAGGAATGAAAGTTTCCAAAAACAAAATCTCAGAATTAAAGTAACAGAGCCGCTCCAACATGCAGCCATCCTGAGCAACGCCGTTCTAGAACATAATATAAAAATATATAATATAAAAATCAAGTCACTAAAGCTGCAACAACAAAAGTTGACTAAAGAAAACTGGGAGTTTGTGCAAAAGCCTTCACATAAAGCATGATTCATAACTTACATAGATTCATAACCCTGTATTCACTGGTTAACTGGTCATCATTAACTTCACGCAGACTCTCACACTGGTACATTTTCATCTTTAAATCACTTCTTGGTCTGCTGCCTTCATACATCTCCTCCTACATGTCTCTGCGTGAGTGCAGCTACAGCGTGCGCTCTCAGGACATTATTACCTGCAGTGTTCCCTCAGTGAGGACTGAACTTGGCAAAAGGGCCTTCTCCTACTCCGCTCCTGTTTCCTGGAATATCTTACAAAAAGATCTGAAGCTCTCGACCTTGACCTCTCTAAGTGTCTTTAAGAATCTGTTGGACACCTGGCAGGAACCAATGAAGACGTTCCTGTTTTTAGTTTTCTACATTCGCCTTAGATTCTACCTGTTTTTTGTTACTTTCCTTTTTTTTAGCCATCCTATTCGTTTAAAAAAAACCCTGCCTTTTTATACTTTATTGTTGTCGCTGTTGTCGATTGTTGTCATCTTTCTTTGTTGAAATCAGGTCTCTCTTGTAAATGAGTCCTCAAGGCTCAATGGGATTTACCTGTCTAAATAAAAGTTGAATGAAAAAACAAAGATGAAATGAATAAGTAAAAATAAATATTAGCTGTATTTTAGCTTTACTGGTTTGGGTTTTATACATTTCTGAACCCTAGCAAATTTCCTTTGCTTCATTAAGGCAGGAAATAAAAACTTTGTTGTACGGTAACCATGGTGTTCACGCCACAGGATGTGGGCGCTGCCGAGGTGAGACTGCTCATCTTGGAGAACATCCTGCTGAGTCCTGCGCACGATGTCTACTTGCTGGCTGGAACTTCTATCAGATACAGAGTCCTCAAGATAAGACAGGGCTCCATCACAGGTGCGCTTCTTTAAAATGCTCCACAAGTCCGTTGTTGTATCTGTTTCTGCATAAAGTAGTTTGTCCCGTTCAAGCATCTGTTAAACGGTGAAAAACCAAGGAAAATGTTTGTCACTGCTGAGTGGGAGCAGCTGTACTTTTTTTTTTTTCCAGTTTCGAATCACCGTGAGGTGCATAAATGTCATCCCTTATGCTTTTTCTTTAATTCAGAGCTGTCCATGCCCTGTGATCAGTATGAACTGCACCTTCAGAACAGTGTGCTTGGCCCCAATGCAAACCCAGACGTTGCTGTGGCCAGTCTGGATCACAGCACCTCCACAGTTACAGCTGTTCAACTGGGACACATTAATGTGGTGCTGGATCACAAGAGTATCCTTCTGACAAACTATAGCAGTTACTGTAGCTGCATAAATGTGTTGATGATGTCTGTGGAGTCTGCCTCAGCCTGCAGTTTCCCTTAGCGGCGTCTTTAAAGGCCTTCGAATGCAAGGAGTGTCTCGCCTACCCAACAGCACGCTCTTTGTTGTCGAACCAGCATACCTAGGTTTGTGTCTTTCTCCTTCAACACCCTGATAAATATTTCAATGTTTAAAGATTTTGCTGACCTACTTTTTTCTTTCTTTAGGTTTTAAAATTCATCCAGGAGACAGCTGGGTTCTTGAAACAGGCAGAGCGTACGATATTCTCATTGAAGTGTTTGATAAATCCGGCAACAAAATTTATCTCTCTGATGTGAGTGCATCCCAGTAAAATCACTTGGTTTAAGTAATTAAACACGACTGAACCTTCTGGCGCTGATAAAATGTAACAGAACTTTAAAAACACATCTGATTGTTGCTTGTTCTGATTCTACAGAATGTCCGCATCAATACTGTTTTCCCCGTGGAGTATTTTGAGATCCTGGAGACTTCTCTGAATGGATCATACCATCACGTCAGGGCTCTCAAAGATGGCCTAACTCTCATCGATGCCACGCTGAGAGCTGTTCAGGATGAAGTGAGTCGACCCTTTTCGGTTTGGAGTTCAGATGAAGCGTCGTCATCGCTTGAAGACTTCACCTTTCTTCCACTTCATTGGAGAGAACTTGATCATTTCCTGTGTTCTGTTTTGCTTCAGAGAGGAAGGGTCCATGCGTTGGCCAACCCCGTTCACAATGAGCAGGATGTGGAAATTTATAACCCCATAGTTCTCTCTCCCAGTATTCTCACGTTTCCATGGCAGCCCAAAGTTGGGGCTTATCAGTACACAATAAAGGTAATCGTTTCTTTTTCATGGTGCTTGAATGGGTTTAATTCTGATAATATAAAATATTACACTTTTTGAGGTGGACTTAAGAGGCTTAAATGATTACTTGTGTCAGATTAGTGCAGAGGTCTGTAACCTTTGCAATAAAAAGAGCCATTTATGCCACTTTGCTTACTAATTATATGATGTCCAGAGCTGCAAAACCTGCTACAACTGTGTACCATCAACTGGTGGCCCATGGACCACAAGTTTGTTGGAGATGGCTTTAATGACCAGTGGGGGTGATTTTATCAAATGATAAATGTCTAACTATTAATATTTATTTGATATTTTTACATTTTACTTCAAAATAAAAGACTAGATTCATGTAAAGAAAGAAACAAAGCTATATAATAATTCACAGTTTTATAAAAATTTAAACTCTGAACTCTGCAGGTTTATGTGAGTTCTCTTAACTGTTGAAGAATTAAGTTTCCTACTTAAAGCATAAAGTTAAAGACAGAATAAAATTAGGCCATTTAGATGGATATCCAGTTACATTTTGAAAAATAAAAATAAAAAACATTAATTTACTTTGACTTTGTTTTTTGTGTTTTTATTCTTAGTGCTATAAAAGTTACTCTCCATATTCCTTCTCAGTAACTTGTCTTAAAGTCCGAAAGACGCTGAGAGACTGGAAGTTAATTTAAAGTGGCTAACAAACTACTAGCATGATGTAGCCCACATGTTTAATGCCGTGTATTTGTACTATTCTTCACATATTTGAAAATGACAGGAAATCTGCTGAAACCAGACATTTTTATTGTTGGTAATAATTTCAATCAAATTCAGTTTTATTGTAGTTTTGGTCAAAGCCTGAAAGAGCCGCTGCAAAGAAACCAAAGAGCCACATGTGGCCCCAGAGCCGCAGCTTGCAGACCCCTGTATTAGTGCTAGATTTAAGAGTGAAACAAAATGAGTCATTTTATACGACAGTGATAACTTCTTTTCTCTGCTGCTCGTTGCAGGCGGCAGGTGGGAGTGGAAATTTCAGCTGGTCTTCATCCAATACAGCTGTAGCCACAGTGACCGTGAAGGGAGTTATGACCACAGTCAGCGACATTGGCGTCACTGCAATTTATGCTCACGATCTACGCAACCCTCTACACTTTGGTCAAATGAAGGTGAGTTGATGTGAAGAACTAAAACTGAATTTATGGAGACGGTTAGAGAGCATGTCCTCCACCTTATTTCCCAATTTTGAAACAGATTGATGAAGAGTAGTTATGTTGACAGATGGCTGAACTGCACTGAGCACATACCTCCACTTTGGCTTTTGTAATAGTGGAAGAAGCGCATGCATGCCATGTCAATGAATATTGCATAGATTTGGGGTCATTTCAGAAGTCGTAAAATAATCACAAATAACTGTCATTTTGCTCGACTTTCCTCGTTGTCTCATCAGTCCAGTTTTATTAAATATCTTTTGTTTCATAAATGTTTTGTGTTTTAGGTTTATGTTGTAGAGCCTGTTGCCATGGACTTTGCTCCTTGCCCAGTAGAAGCCAGGTTAGGCCTGGTTCTGGACCTGCCCCTCAGGATATTTGGCTTGCTGGAGGAGCTGGAGAGAGAGCGGGTCATGCTAAGTGACTGCTCCCACTTTGACCTGCAGGTTGAACAGGAGAACCATGGTGTCTTTGAATTACTAGATGGTAAGTAGTCCTGGTGATGCAATTAACTGTTACTAAAGAAGCATGAAAATTATAAAAATCACTTTATACATGGGTGAAAATGACCAAAAAGTATAACACAAAAACTTGTAAAGCATAAACTATAAAAAGCTGTCATGCACACTGTCAGGCCACAAAAACGTAAATATCAAGAATTCAAATATTTTATTGGAAAATAAATCCCTACTTAGACTGCTACCCCCGCGACCCGACCCCGGATAAGCAGAAGAAAATAGATGGATGGATGGATGGATGGATGGATAGATGGATTATAGTAAGAATTTTAAGTGGCTTTGGTTCACTAAGCTTTCTCAAAGTTAGATTTATGTAGACCAGAAGAGTACAGTGATCCCTCGCCTATCATGGGGGTTATGTTCCAGAGACCCCCGCGATAGGTGAAAATCCATGAAGTAGCGGTGTTATATTTATTTTATTATTAATATTTAAGGCTTTACAAACCCTTCCCACACTGTTATTAACCTTTCCCACTCTCTTATAAACACCAGTGTTTCCCCTACTATTATATAAGCAGGGCACCCCGCCCTGTCAACAGAACCGAGCAGCCTGCCCACCGAACCAAACTGCATCGAAACGACCCCCCCCCCCCCGGTCAGCACTGAGGTAGCGCTTAGCTAGCGGCGCGCAATACAGGTGCGCTAGCTAAAAAGCTAAAGGCAGCGCTCACTCTGCCTCGGTACAAACAGTGCACAGCTCTGATGTTCTCCAGTTCTCCCCACCCCGTCGACTTAAATCACGGACAAGATGAGCGCCCTGCCATGGCAAGTTATCTTCTAGGGGAAACATTGCACTTCATATGCTCTTAAACACATTGGCGATCGCGATGACAATGAGATGAATGCACAGTAGTGCACAGCATGTACAAGTACACACAATGTAAAAAATACTGGCTTTAAAAACCCCACAATATGAGAGGGACTACTGCATAAAATAATAAAATATTTGAAATGAGTCAGCTTTTGTACAAATTCTTCAGCTCGTCCCCCAAAAACTCCCAACGAGGTTGACTGTGTGTGAAAATGACCTTGTTCTCCTCAAACCACCTTTTTTTTTTTTAACAATCTGTTATTTCAAAGCTCAAGTTTGAATAAAGAATGAGAAGGACATAATTCTTTAAAGTGTCATAAGTTATTTTGGTTTTTATCTCAACCTTTCTCTCTAAAGTTCTATGTGCTAGATGTATCACGATTCATAAAAAAGATGTCTCTGCAGCACTGTGTGACTGAAGACCATCAGTATCTGTCTGAACATTTTTTACTCGTACATTGTGGTTTTGAATTATTTCTCTCTGGTTTTGTCCAACCCTGCTTCCTGTTTGTCCAGGGAGGCTGGCTCCAGGCCAGAACCACTGCAGTGGAGTTCGAGCCAAGGCCCAGTCTCCGGGGTACACGGTGCTTACTGTCAGCTACACTCATGGCAATGTTCACCTCAGTGCCAAGATCACCATCGCTGCCTACCTTCCTCTCAGAGTGAGTCCTGAGCTCCTACACTTTCAGGAATTTACTAATGATGAACACTTGACCAAGATGTTTGGCCTCATCTGTTCATAATTAATATTTGAGTTTTTCACGTTTGATGTTCTTTTAAAGAATTGAGAGATTTTAGCTTTTGTGACAGTGTGGGACTAAACGTGCATGTTGTATACGTCACAAGTATCTTGAATAAAATGTAGCAGGTGCAGGGTTAACATTTTAACTGTGATTGGGTTGAATTTTTTTAATAAAGCACCAAGAAATTGTCTTTCCTGAAAAAACAGTGTACACATTTATACAAGTAAATATTTTTGAAAAATGATTCTTTTCCCAATAAAGTTTTTATTTTGGGTTTCATTTGTGCATTTTATTATTCATTAAACTCGTTCCTTTTTTTTAATCTATTGAAACCTTTTTTAGATTTGATTTCAAATGTTTTCTGGTGTAGTTGGATCTTTGGTCTTGATAATCTGTCGACATTTGTTTTATCTGTTGGACTTTTCATTCATGTTGTTGTTGTTGTTCAGGCAGTTGATCCTGTGTCTGTGGCCGTGGTTACTCTGGGATCTTCTAAAGACATGTTGTTTGAAGGAGGACCACGGCCCTGGGTTTTAGAGCCTTCAAAGTTCTTCTGCACTTCAAGAGCTGAGGATGAGTCCAGACTGAGCCTTACTCTGACTGCTCCTTCATCTCACAACTACAATCAGCACTGGCTCAGAGCGACCTGCAGGGGCCTAGGGGAGCAGGTTGGTGCAACTGAATCCAAACACGTGCACATAATTTACTTATTGGTTGTAGATGTTTACGAGCTCATCGGACTTTTTGCTTGTCTTCAGGTGCTTGAGGTGACTGTGGGGAACAAGGCCAGTGTGACCAATCCATTTCCTGCTGTGGAGCCAGCTGTGGTCAAGTTTGTGTGTGCGCCTCCGTCACGCCTCACTCTGGTTCCAGTTTACACGAGCCCACAGCTGGACCTGACCTGCCCACTGCTCCAACAGAACAAACAGGTGGTGAGTCTCTTCTGAAGGTTTTATCTGTGTCGACAAGTACCGTTATTTGTTTTACTAATCTTGACCTGTGCTGCTGTTGGTAAATTTATTGAGTGAAAGTCATTTTAGTGTTTGTAGAACTGTAAACTTTACTGGTAAGTAGGCCTGTCACGATAACAAATTTTGCTGGGCGATTAATTGTCTCAGATATTATTGTGATAAATGATAATATTGTTTGAAATTTGGCAATAAGTAATTATTGTCAAATTAATATAACTAATTGTTATAGTAGGAATGCGCTATATAAACGGTACACGGTAGAAACGATAGAAATTTATCCGACGTTATAGATCTGTCTTCTACTGGCTAACCGCAGTAATGCTGTGTCTGATGTAAAATCAGAGCTGTCAGATTTAATCGTTACTTGTTTTGATTTGGAAACTGTGTGCAAGTGGCGTTAGTCTTTTCTTCGAGAGCTAAGTAGCGAAGCTACAAGCTAACTACGCCCGGCTTGCCGTAGTGTTGCCGTATTCTGACGAATGCGCAAAACTCTGTGTTCCGTCAAAAGTTTTTTTTGTTTTTTTTTTCCATCGAAAGTTAAAGTAAGCGTTGGTCATCTTTAGAGAAACCTGCTCTGTGATCTGTGAAAAGAACGCTGTGTTGTGTGATTTTACTGCGAGACCCTCTGGTCAAAGCCACAGACTCATTTTGTGTCAGCTCTCCATTAAAGCTGAAGGCGTCGCCCACTAGAGGGTTGGAGGGTGAAGTGTTTCAGTGTAAAATGCTGCTCTGATGCTGTTCATTTCTTAAGTGAAGACTGGAAACTGTTAAGAGTTAACAATATATTATTTTGTTGAAAACATATGGCTAAAACTACATTTGATATATTCTGCACTGTTTTGCACTACAAGAAAGAAGCCTAATACTTGATTTGTTTATTATTTTAAAACTCTATGGACCTAGTAGTGACATTTTTTTAATTCAAAATATATGACAGCAAAATGACACCCTGTGCTTTTTTTTTTTCCTTTTGCAAGTTTTATACCAAAAACATATCACGATATATATCGTTATCGCCACTCTTCACAATACATATCGTGATATGAATTTTATGTCATATCGCACATTCCTACCGGATAGCAGTGTAAGACTGTTTGACCTGCAGGATGGATAGTGAGGGAGCGAGCAGTGTGTGTCTCTAAGAAAAATGGGAGGCCCCTTGACGTGGCATGGATTGTCTCTCTTCGGTTCTCAAAATGGCAGACTCTTGGTGTGGTTTGAGCTCTTTAGCATAGCATTTTTCACACAAAGCTTTTAATAAACAAATCTGTAAACAAGTTCTCAGCTTCTTTTTGCAGAGAAAATCTTTTTACACCAAGGCACGGGTTTCAACCGTGAATTTTGGAGCTTGGACAAGACGGAGATTTTTTTTCCCCCAAGTCGGCCTGTTAGCTTAGCTCGTAGCTTAGCTTCTCAGCTTAGCTGCTTTTAATGATCCAAAATCGCAATTTTAGACGGTTAAACAGATTTTAAAGAGAAAGGGAGGGGTCAGTGAAGAGCACCGGAGTTGAACTTTTTGTCATCCAGTGTCTTCAGTAGAAAGAGAGAGACACGAAGAAACGATAAAGCCGATAAATGAAAACGAGGTCAATCATTTTCATTTATCATGCGATTAATTGATTTATTGTTTATCGCGACAGGCCTACTGGTAAGCTAATGTTCGTTGACTTATAGCCAACTTTAAGACAGGTTTAGGACAGGAGTCGGGTTTCCTTACTGTGTTAATGAATAATAAGAAGCTGTGCTTTTTAAGCAGAAATTTCAAAAATTTAAATAATACTTTTTTTAAACAATTTATTTCCTCCTTTACCCAGGTCCCTGTTTCAAATTATCGTAACCCTATTTTGGACTTGGCTGCCTTTGATCAACAAGGGAGGAAGTTTGACAATTTCAGCTCTCTGAGCATGTTGTGGGAGTCCTCAAAGCAGTCCCTGGCCAGTATCGAGCCCAGTATGCCCATGGAGCTTCAACAATTGGAAGATAACAACAAACAGATGAAACTCCATGGTAATAATTGTATATATTTTTCTTATTAATGGACTGTGGCTGTTTAGCAAATAATAGAAAAGATAGACATGATCTCTTAGTAATTACAGTACATTTTGTTTTGCTTACTGTTTTATTTTGTTGATGAATTATGAGTTGGTGTTCATGTAATTGATTTTTTTTTTTTTTTCTTTTTGGGGGACTTTCATCGATGGCAGGCCGTCAGACAGTTCTCGTCCACCAGCAGACAGGAGTAGCTGCCATCACAGTAACAGCTCTTGGATATCAGGTTCCACATCTTGCAGCAGCTAAAGTTCCCAGTCCAGTAAGTCAAACCAGTGACACAACTTTAGGTGATCAGATGATCAGGCTTTCGCTTTCGCTTTCTGTTAGAAACCAAAAGCTCTTTAAAATACCTGCATGTGTTTGTTATTTTAAAAGCTGTTGATCCTGTGTAAATTACTTTAGAAATCACTTTTCCTTCTCTGTCAAGTGTTTGGGTTCTGGAATAATTGTTCCACAGTGAAAATCTGACTCTTCTGTTTTCATATGTAATCCCATTCAACCTTGATATATTTTTTAATTTCCTTTTTTTCCCCCAGTCATTCCATCCATCCATTTTCTTTACCCGCTTATTCCATTTTGGGTCACGGGGGTCGCTGGTGCCCATGTCCAGCAATCACTGTGCGAGGGGCGGGGTACACCCTGGACGGGTCGCAAGTCCATCACAGGGCCACATAGAGACAAACGAGACAAACAACCATTCACTCTCTCATTCACACCTAGGGACAATTTAGAGTTACCAATCAGCCTAACATGCATGTTTTTGGTCTGTGGGAGGAAACCAGAGTACCAGGAGAAAACCCACGCATGCACGGAGACCCAGTCATTCCAACATGTTGTAATCAGTATTGTTTATTTAACATGATGAATCGTGGTTGTGTCTGTTAAGAGAGAGATCCTTCTAAATGGCTGTCAAGCATAGTGCGCATGTGACCAGAACGGTTTTTATATCTTCAGCTCTCGACAAAATTCCTAGTCAAGCTTCCTGAGCCGTCACAGAGACTTCCTTGTAGTTGTATTTTCTGGCTCTACCTGTTTATTCACAACCTAAGAGAGGCTTCACCTTTGTGGCAGCCAAGAACTCTTTATCATCTAGAATTTTATTTATTATCTATTAAACCTAAACTTCCCCTTCTCTCCTCTGGTCAGTTGTTCTGTTGTGCAGATGTGAATTGTTTGCTGTAAGTATCAAACAGAGATTTTTTTTAGATTTGTTTGTTCAAACATTGGCAGCTTAAGGTGGCAGTTGTTTTGGATGTGATTATATGTAAAATAAACCATCTTCTAGTGATTTATTTGACTAGATAAAGCATTAATTAATAATTAGCTTTTCTAAATGATTTAATGACGTGGAGAGTAAATGCAAATGTGTTTCCAGATATGAAATATAGATGTGAACAGCTACACATGATTTTAATGCCACATGATTTTCTGTTTCTATGATTTTTTTTCCCCTCTTACACAGCTTTAACTTGCATATTGTTTATGTATTAATTAATTGTTAAAGAAATATCACTAACTGTTTGAACCCGTGTTCCTGCTCTGGACAGTATGACCCTCTGACGCCTGTCTCTGCCACACTGGAGCTTCTGTTGGTCGAGGATGTGAAGGTTTTTCCTGATACTGTGACCATATACAACCACCCAGATGTGCGGGTAAGAAACACAATGGTGACCGCAGTGAACTGTCACGTCACTGTTTGTGCTTCACTCTCTGAGAGTCACAAGCACAGACACGATCACTTTCTGGCATGTTCAATGAAAACTCAATAAATGTTTCATCAAGATGTTTTCTTTGTTTGGTGGCTCATTATCTGGGTAACCTTAATGTTGATCTCTGCGCTCAGCAGTGACGATTACACATTTGATTTTAAAGTTTGCTAAATCATAAAAACAGTCTGTCTGTAGAGGTCAGTTTGTTTCTTAAAGTATATACTAAGCACAGTAATGTAAATGTTCATTAAAAACATTGTCTAGACAAAAATCATAATTTTTGTTTACATTGTAACTGGTTATATAAAATAAAAAATAAAAAAATGCTGCTTTTTAAATAATAATTTTCTGTGGTTAATTTTTGTACCATTGAATTGTTTTTATTGTTTTCCTCAATCTTCAGTAATTTGGATTGGGGACGTCTGCATTTATGAAAATAATAAAATGTGGTAATTCACTATTAGATGAGCTGCTTTTACTTACTTACTATTTATTTGTTTACTTATTTTTTGCAGTTAACATAAACAAAACAATGTAATTTCATCCTCATTTTAAGCTCTAAATGAATTATTGTCACCTTTGACACCCTGCTCAGCGGGTGCTCGTGTTTTAATCCTGTCGTTGTGCTGGTGTGAGCGTTAACAGTTAGTGACAGACCAGGTTTTCCTCAGGGGTCCCCTCCGATGTAACCTGCAGGATGAAGTGTCAGACAAATGTTCGAGTGAACTGCCGTGTCTTTCATTCTAACAGTTTGACATCACTTTGACTGTATTTTGTCTTCTAGTTGAATTTGGCCTTAAAAGAGGGTTCAGGTCACTTTTTTGTCAATACCAGTGTGAAGGGGATTGTGAAGGTGGTTCTCCGTGAGGCCCAAAGCACAGCTCAGGTAAGAAAAGCTGAACTCCACTGTACTGCATTGTAAATGTTTAAACAAGCTTACCTAGTGCCAAAAATGTGAATGTTTAGAATGAAAGCTCTGCTAAAGAGAAATGTCCTCATCTGTCCAGGTTTCTCCAGTCCTGCCAGGCACGGTGAAAGTGATGGTTCATGATCTCTGTCTGGCTTTTCCAGCTCCTGCTAAAGCCACCGTTCATGTTTCTGACATCCTGGAGGTTTATGTAAGAGTGGTTGACAAGGTCAGTTCACAGAATGCTTCATGTTTTAGGCTCAAAGTCCTGCTAGATCAAATCCACTTTATTATTCATATCGCACACGTGAAGTTTTCCTGTAGTGTGCAGGTGTTAAATGTGCTTTGTATTCTTTCACGCTTCCATTTTTAGTTAAAGTCTTTCTGTTTTAAACTGTCCTGCCCCCTTTAAATCCACATTTATTTCCCTGTTCATGATTGTAATGCCTCTTGATTACAGGTTGAGATTGGCAAATCTGTAAAAGCTTACGTCAGAGTCTTGGATGATAATAAGAAGCCTTTCTCGGCCAGCTATTTCCAAAACATGAACCTTAAACTCACCGCAGCGTCTGCTATTATTTCTCTTTGGTAAGTAATCTAATGTGTGGTGTTTACGTTGAGTATAAAGAAGCAAGCATTCATTTTCTGAACGCGTCTCCTGCAGGCCATTAGCAGAGTCCACAGAAAGTGATACAGCAGTGTATCTGGTGAAAGGAGCTGTTATTGGTCAGACCACTCTGTCCGCTGTTGTTGTGGATAAAACTGGTAGAAAAATAGCCTCTGCACCCCAACAAATTGAGGTACAGCTAAGTAGATCTCAAAAAGTACATTTACATTACAGCTCCTGCTAATGTTTCAGAGTAAAAACAAATATTTTTGGTTTCTTTTTCCTTCTAAGGTCTTTCCACCGTTCAAACTCATCCCAAGGAAAATGACTCTGTTAATTGGAGCGACGATGCAGGTATGTGTAATTTTAAACAGGTGGTCCCTCTTCCTCTGGTCCTCAATTTATCTCCTGGAGGAATTCGTCTGGCAGTACTCTTAATAGCTCTTAATTTAAATATCCATCTTGCCTGTCATTTCCCTCATCGCATCCTCCTATTAAGAATGATTTACATCATAGTATTTTCCTAAAAGCTGAGCGTAACACTTGGTTACTGCATAGTTTCTTAGGTTTTCAGTTTTAGATATTTTAAGTGTTTGAACTACACGTGATAGTGTTTAATAAATTATTGTGCTCTTCTCATCCCAAATATTTATTCTCCCTTTACTCCTGCCGTCATTTATAGATCACATCTGAGGGTGGTCCTCAGCCTCAGTCCAATATCATTTTCTCCATTTCTGATGAGGAGATCGCTTCTGTTAATGCTATGGGCCACGTCAGGGGCGCTGCTGTCGGGAACGTTACGGTGACGGGGCTGGTCCAGGCTGTCGATGCTGAGACTGGGAAGCTCGTCGTCGTATCTCAGGTAAGTGTCAGTCAGTGATGCGGCTCTGTGTAGTCCTCTCTTAGCTGGTACGTGAAAAAAAATCAGATTTCCTCGTGGTTGTAGGATCAAGTAGAAGTCGAGGTCGTGTTTTTGACGGCCATTCGAATCAGAGCGCCTATCACAAGAATGAAGACAGGAACACAGGTATGAATAATTTTAGATTTCTTCCCAAAATCACTAATTATACTGTTTATCATACATATCCGTATACGAGCTTATTATAAGATTGTGTTATTTAATGTCTCTGTGAGGGATTGATCTCAGCTGATTGTCTTCATTTAATTTCTAGATGCCTGTTTATGTGATGGGGCTGACCAGCAGTCAAACACCCTTCTCCTTTGGAAGCGTTCTGCCGAGTCTCGCCTTCTACTGGTCCACCACCAAGAGAGACATTCTGGATATCCAGCCCAGGCACTCAGAGGTATCCTTTCATTTCCTCTTCCGCTGAACAAGAAAATACAGATTTCTGTTCGATGGATAACTAAATCGCTCCTACTTGTGATGCTCATCCTCCGAGAACTCGGGCTCGATTTGTGACAGAGTGGTTCTAGGAGCATGAGACATCATTTTCACACATGGACTGGCCCCCACAGAGTCCAGACCTTAACCCCATTGAGAATCTTTGGGCTGTGTTGGAGAAGGCTTTGCGCAGTGGTCAGAATCTGCCATCATCAATGCAAGATCTTAGTGAAAAATGAAAGCAACACTGGATGGAAATAGATCTTGTGACACTGCAGAAGCTTATTGAAACAACGCCACAGCGAATCTAAAGGCGGTCCAATGAAATATTAGTGTGACCTTTATTTTTGGAGGTGACTTTTTATTTTTTGGCCAGGCAGTGTATTTAACTGTTTTACTTTGAAAACTTAAGATTAAGTTTTATATTTGTCTCATTGTATTGTAATGAATAAAATGACTTACTTTGAGTCAGACATTTAATAATTGTCTGTATAACACAGTTTGACTTGTGCTTTAATATAAATGAGACGAGGTCTATTATTGATTCTGGTTTTGTTGCTCAGAATAAACTAAGACGTGTTGTCTCCATATTCTAGTACATGTTTTTAAAACCAGCACCTGCTGAGACTCTGCTGTTTGTGTTCACCGTGTAGCTTCTTTCTCATCACATGCATTTTGTAGTTTGACTCTGCTGCTGTTTTGAACCACTTTTTTAATGATCTGTGTCGCGCAGACCAACATTAACCTTCAGCCGGAGCACAACTTTGCCATGAGAGTAATGGGAAGGCTGAGGGGTCGGACCGGGCTGAAGGTGGTTCTCAGAGTTACTGACCCAAAGGCACGTCAGCTGCAGGGGAACCTACAAGAGCTTAGCGATGAACTCCAGATCCAGGTACCACACTGTTTAAAAAGTCTTTCCTAATATTTTAATTTCTACTCAGCTCTAAATATTTTAAATTCCTTTGATATGAACTACTTTGCTTATCGTGGCAATGTTCCCTGCTGCTGCTGCTTCAGAATAAAAAAGCTGTTTTTTGTGTCAGCAGAGCGCTGAAATTACTGGTGGCTGAATTATCTTGTTAAATTTACGAAGCGATAACGCTGCAGATTAGTAGAAGCAGAATTCATATCGGCTTCAAAATGTATTAAACGATAGCATGACACAAGTGTAGAGACATCAAAGAACAATGAAAGTCCCCTAATAATGGTTTCATCGCTCTGCTTTGATCAAGGTCTATGACAAGCTGCACGTGCTCAACCCTCAAATAGAGGCTGAGGAGTTACTGATGGCTCCGAACTCCGCCATCAAACTCCAAACTAACAGGTGAGTTGCACTACGGGGGTTCGTCTGATCTTCACACCCATGCAGGTTTTATTGCCCTACATAAAATGATGAAAAGGCACAAACCACACTCAAAGCAACATTATGCTGTGATGTTTCTGTCTCGTAGAGACGGTGTGGGTGCACTCTCCTACCGGATGCTGGATTGCCCTGACCAGGTCATTGTTGCTCAAGTTGATGATAAGGGCTTCCTCTCTGCTGGCTCTCTCACCGGCATCTCTTCTCTGCTGATCACCTCACATGAGACCTTTGGTGTCAATCAGACCCTCATCCTCACCGTAAAGGTCAGTTCAAGAGCTGCAGAGTGAAAGATGTTTGAGATTTTGTTCTTTTAAAACAGTCTTCTCTGTCAACTGACTGTTTTCTGACTTCCTGTCAGAGGCTTTGCACATCTGACCAAACATCCTTCAAGATGCTTGTAAATTTAAAAGTATCTACTAGAGATGCACGATATTAGATTTTTGGTCGATATGTTAAAACTCATTTGGCCGATAACCAATACCGATATTTTTCCCCTAGACCTACTTACAAAGACTACATATTCTTCTCTGCTGTGGAATTAAAATACTACATTATTCTGCATGGTCTTTGTCAGTTTGGCCTACTACCAAATGAAGATGCCAAAAAGGGGGCTGAAAATGATGTAACACTTCAACTTGGATTATGTTTAATGTCAAATTTATTCATGACATTTCCTCTCTCCAACACAATGACAATGTCCAATATTTATCGTTAATATCGCCCAATACTGCCGATAATCGTGTACATCCTTAGTATCTACTGTAATAGTATTATTAGTAGTACTGTAATAGTGGTAAACTAGTGATGGTTTAAAATGATGGCATTAGTTGTTTTAAGTGAAAGTCTTTTAAAATGGTCTTAATAACAGAAAACGTTTTCCTTTTCTGTTTGTGGTAAATTAAAAAAAGATGCACTGATGTGCACAATTTGTATAAAGGATATTATTTGATAAAATATTAATTGTGGGTCATTTATTATTCATTAGTTGTCCAAAATTATTCAGTGTCTGTGAATATCCGTTATCAGTCTCTGCCTGGCCTCTGTTTGTTAACACGCCTTTGAAATGACTGCTGGCGGTCACCGATTGTGACAACAGTTCTTCCCTCGCCTCCTCAGGTGGTCCCTGTGTCCTATGTCCGCTTCAGCACCAGTCCTGTGCTCTACACCCACACAAGAGAGGGCCTGGCTGCCTTTCCCCTGGGAATACTACTCACCTTCACTGTGCACTTTCATGCTAGCACAGGAGAGGCCATTCACAGCTCGAACGCCCACCTTACGTTTTCTACGAACAGGTCGGTCACCCGGAAACATTTCTCTTGATCAAAATCTAATTGTGGATTAGTGATGAGAATAAAGTAAAAAAAAATTAGCACTACTTTAAATGGAGCACCTTTAATTTTGAGTGGTGTGGCAGCAGAAACCTCAGGTTTGGTGACAGGACGTGACAGGTAGACCTAATCTGAGTGATTTTTGACTCTGCAAGAGTGGACATTTGACACAAACGCACGATACTCGAATGGTAAACAGATGTTGTGTTGTTAAATAGTGATTATGTTAATCAAAGGTTTTTTTTTTTATGTTTTTATAAGGCTTTTCAAATGCTTTCTATCAGTGCTGGTGACTGGTTGGATTACAGATTAATCAGATGTTTTAATAGAGACGAAGAGTAATTGACTAACTGGAATTGGTCTGTTTTACTTTGACTAGTCGTTTATTTCATTGATCATTTATTATTATCTGTCAAATGAAATTATAAGTGTTTGTGTTTGGCTGTCTAGTAGATTTTCTCATGAACCAACAGACGGCTTTTAACGAAACTCAAAACAATCCTCAGACTTACGTTTACATCCTGATTCAAGTTGGCCTACACGGCTACCGAACCTTAGCAAACACAAACTTCGCTGCAGCTCAGTCCTTTTTACAGATGCTGAGCTAAAACTGGCGAGGTAGTAACCGAGAGTCATTTCCAACACACGTTACAAGCACTAACAAATCACGCAAGAGCTTTGTTCAAAACTCAGTGCGGTGGACAGCGTGCACGTCTTTAAGGAATGCTCGTTTTAGTCTTGAATATGAGATTCTGTGCTTGTTCCATTTGCACATTAAGCTGCAGAATGTGGCACACAGTCTTAACTTTGAAGCCCCACGTAGCAGGATGTTGTCAGTGTGGGGGCTCTTCAAAGTGAGTTCAGGAGACACAACTTTGACAGTTTGTGCTGATGCTTTTGTTATTTCCTTTGCATAGTTGAAAGTTTGAGAGCCAGCACAGCCTTTTCCTCTCATTGTTTAAGATATTCAGATTCTGGATCAATAACCCATTAGCAAAGCACTATTAAAATACAAACAATGCACTCAATGCAACTGTGAAACTACATTTTCATGGAATCAGGACATTCTCTGCACTTTGTGAACACTAAGAACGGTCCCGTTTTGCTGCAATCAGTTGTTTTAAAGTTTTAAATATTGTATTTAATATTGTATTACTGAACAGTAATGATACGTGATTATCCTGCATGGTTTATTTTTTTAAATCAGCCAAGAAAATGGTTATTGTTGCTTCCCTGAAACAATTCTAGTCAGTTTCAACTTGCAAGCTACCGAGCTAGAAATACTAAAAATATCAGCTGTTTCACTGGGTATAAATAATCTTGTCACAACATTTAGTCATATAATTGAGAATGTTTAAAAAGCATGATTATGCATGCACAATCATTTAATCGTCTACAATTACCTGTAAAAAAAAAAAAAAAAATCAAAGGAGTGCACATAGCAGAATTAACATAACTCCACATAGTTTTAAAGATAAAAAGACTGAAATTATTGACGTCCTTTGGCTGAAATTACTTCTTTACGTCTCTTTGTCAGGATATATTTAACATGTTATTTTTTTACACTATTTAAGGCAAACAAGATTAATTTGACTTATTATTCATTTCATTTATTAAAAATAAAATGCTTTGAATACACTTTTAATCAGTAGGCTTGTGCTCTCTATCATATAATGAAGTATTCACAAGTATCTATACTTCAGTTGTCCGCCTGAATCTTTTAGTTTTACTCCATTTCATGTACAAAGTGTGTTCCAGGCAGAGTAGCTGTTGCTGCACACTGAGGGTTAACATTATATAAGGCTAATGGGGCAATCTGTAGCACTCCTAATGTTTTCTATGCAGTGCCTGTTTTACACCATACTGCTGCTTTCCCTTCCCTTTTAGCACATTAATGTTTAGTCTGACTAGAGCAGTAGAGGTCATGGCAAAGTGTAGTAGCACGCTCTGAGGAGAGCATGAAATTAAATTACCTGGCTGCTCCTGCAGCCTCAGCTCAGATGGGCTGTTTTCACCCGAGTGAGTGAACTCGGTAAGAGTTTGGGGCTGAAACAAGTGTTGCTGCAGTTTCAGTAAGGGACTCCCTCATCAGTCTGCACAATGAATTGATTCTATTACCTTGCCTCCAGTTGCTGAAACAATTTTAGAGTAAAAATACAAAACTAAGTAGTAAAGCCCTCATAGTGTGGGAACTACGGTTCCTGGTCTGTGATTAAATCCTACTGAGCCTCTTAAGGGCCAATTGGATTTTTCTGGTATCTGCGCTTGGAACAGCTCGTCCTATTTGTTTAGTACAGAGGCTTTGCAGAAAAAGGCAAAAGTAGGACGCTTTTAAAGAGGAAAAGTATTATAAAGACTAAAACTTCTACAGAAGGCAGGCAGTATAAATCGAGTACACTACAGTAGTCCCTCGCTACTTTGCGGTTCATTTATCGCGGACTCGCTCTATCGCGGTTTGTAAAAGTAAGATTGGACATGACACACAATTGGCCGATTGATGGATAAGTCGCACGATCAGCATAGATTTTTATTTAAAATTAAGTATTTTAAATTATTTAGCACCTGTGTGCAACCCACAGCTGCAGGAGAGGCTTCCTCCTGCAGCGGAGAAGTGGGCGTGGCTGAGAGAGCTGGCAGGAAGCAGATATATATTCCTACTTTGTGGTTTTTCACTCATCGTGGGGCTTCATGGTACGGATCCCCTGTGATAAACGAGGGACTACTGTACACAGGATTTTTGGACAATTTCACCAAGAACCTTAGAAACAGAGACATTTATTTGCAAACAAAATTTGCAAAATTGTCAATAAAAGAAGAGACGAGGTGTAGGAATTGTGGGCCTTGTTGCCTTTTGAGGGTGACTGTAAAGGACGATAGTTATGACAAACAATATTTTACTAAAACTTTATATTGGCCACAAACGGCTGAATCTGCTGTGCTGAACATTTGCAGATAAAGGTTTATATTCTGTGTGCAGTGAATCTCAGTGATGGAATCAAACACACGTTGGAAATAAACACTTGTTTGCAGCAGTAAATGTAAATAAAAACCTCTTTCATGGTCATATTGTGCAAGTTTATATGTACAGTGAACTGACATTTTTAGATTGTAACTTAAAAAAATAACAAAATCAATGATACTGTCTTTCGCTGCCTTGCATGCCAAAGTTTTTAACAAAGATCTCTCTTGATCTGTTCACTCTCAAAGTACCGGTATTTGTTGGAGATGGCGTCGGGTTGATTAGTTGTGGCAACCATCTTGAATCAGGTTGACTCCAAAAGATCGTGAGCTGTAACGGTACATCCAGGGATGGCTCTCGGAGTTGAATTAAATTCTGTCCACTCATTTAAGAGCTTTTTTGCTAACAGATTCATAACTTTGACCTCCTAGTGCCTAAGTGTCTGAGTGCTGTCTGGTGGAAACTTTTCTGTTCACTATCGACTTTATACATTTTGTTTTAGGATTTTTAGTTTCTAATTTGACAGGTAAAGAAAAACAAATGCATTATTTCTATTTAAATCAGATGTACGAAGGTAAAGCTCATTGAACTTGTTTTCAGTCGAGGTTTTAAACTGTGGATGTCCAAACAAATTATTCAAAGTGACTTTTGATTCCTTTCTGTCCTGCAGAGATGACCTTGTGCAGGTGGGGGTTGGCCCCTCTAATCACACTCTGTCAGTGAGAACTGTCAACGTAGGTCTGACGCTTCTTTCAGTGTGGGACAGTGAAAACATGGGCGTGGCAGACTATGTCCCACTTCCTGTCCAGCACGCCATCTACATGGACGAGTCCAACAAGCTGGTGGTGGGAGACGTGGTCTGCTTTCAGGTCCAGCTAACGAGCCCAGATGGTGAGGGGTGTGCGTTGGAGTAAAGCACTAATTGTTTCAGACATTCTTAGTTCAGAGTACAGTCGTTGATGAACACTCAGAAAACGTATACAGTGATCTAGAGTTGGTGCATGTCAGAATATTTCAGTTTGTTTAAAACAGAAGCAGCTTGTTGTGCATGTTCTAAGAGGAAAACGTTTATTTAGCTAAAGCTCATTTTAAATTTTTGTTCCGTTTTTTCTTCTGAATAGATTCATACCTTTAATTTTTCCTTACACATTTTCTAAAATGAGAAAATGATCTTGCCTTTTTCTGTAGGTGTTTCTGGTACATGGCGCTCCTCTGCAGACAGCGTTCTTCAGGTGGACTCCAGAAGCGGCGCGGCCGTAGCCAGAGACTCTGGGACGGTCACCGTGTACTATGAAATACCTGGCGTTTTGAAAACGTACAGAGAGGTCGGTTATGTCTGTTTATATTCCATCTGTCATTCCGCATAGACAAGCTTTGAACTAGACCAGTAAGAGCACACTGGTGTAACTGTGTGTCATTATGTAATCAAATGGAAAATAGATGAGTAGAAACAAAACCCTCTGAGTAATGATGCAAACTAGACAACTTTCTGGTTTCTTTGTATTATCCCAAAGATGTGTGCACACATCAAAATAAATTAAAATATATTTAAAAGTTCTTTACCCATCACACTCCTTGTTTTGTAAATTGTCAGCAAGCAGCAAAATTAAATTAACATTTTCTTTCTGCTAAGTGAGAATTCATGAGTTGTGGTGTTTAATATTTAGTTAAGTGGTCACAAACCTCTTCAGGAAGTGAACGTGACGAAGATGTTTCCATCAGTGTGCGGGGAAGCATTAATGCAAGCAGCAGCGTCTCAGTGAATTTTTCTGACAGTCTGGCATGATTGATGCGAACGACCAGTGGTGGATGCAGAACACACACCTGAAAAGGGCTCGTTTGTTTTCTGTGTGTGTTGATCTGTAGGTGATTGTGGAGGCACCAACGAGGACCTCAGCTATGGCTCAGGCTTCACCCGTCAGGCCCGGCAAGGAGACCAAGGTTCATCTTACGACCCGAGAGAGAGGAACCAACCTCATTGGTATGGATTTATTTTAACAAGTAATGAGACTTTGGTTCTCCTTTTTACTAGTGATCCATCAAATGAGTGAACTTTAGCTGGATCCGGGTTATTACCGGTAGTTAGGATTATTATTAGCTTGTATTGTTAGCTTAGCTCGCCTGGTTAACATACAGGCCAAAATACAAGCTGGAAACCTCTCAACCAGCATTTGCACTTGATTCCTCTTTTAAAAACATCTAAGTAATTATCAGTACATTAAGGAGGAAGTCTCGACTCAGAACTCTCTTTGAAACAAAGTGTTGTAACCTCGTTTGTTGAAGCTCGATTTTAAAACAATCATTCCAAAGAACTAAAATACTTTAAGCAGTAGCTAAAACAGTTATTTACTACAAATAACTAGGTTAGTATTAGTCACTTGTATGGAACGTATAAAACAACATCAGCCCTCTGTGTCATATTAGGGACTGGAATTGGGAGAACCAGACTTTTTTTTTTTAACAGTATCTACTTTTCTGTAGTTGCCAAGATGGCCGCGCTCAGCCGAGTCGCAGCTTCACAGGCTCCCGGTGAACTCGATCTTTTTTTGTTCCTGTTGTTTTTGTTTTAACTTTTTTTTGCTCCTACACTGCACATCCACAGTACGGGCATGACATCGACACACTTGTGGAGTTTTCTGTGTCGCTGCCTTGCCATCATGCCATCATGGTTCAATTCTTCCAGCCTCAGGCTCAGGCCTGTCATGGCGTCTCCGTGGTCCTCCATCTGCCTGCACAGACCGAACTCTACGAACCCGTTCCGTTCCGTGGGGAAACCTTGATGTTCTCTGTCTGCCGGACCCGGTTCTGGAGGGCAGTCTGTGAGGGCAGCTGCTGCGGTCATTGTTGCCATCAGGCTGCTGACAGGACATGCTAACTAGACCTGCTAATGCTGCTAACAAGATCCGTTGTCTGCCTGACCGGACCAAACTCTGTGGACCTGCTTGGTTCTGCGGGGGAACCTTGGATGTTCTTTGTCTGCTGGACCCAGTTCTGGAGGGCAGTCTGGGAGGCAGCTGCTGCGGTCCTTATTATCATCATGCTGCTGAAGGGACCTGCTAACAAAACCTGCTAACACTGCTAACCGAACCACGCCGCTAACAGTACCATGGGACCAACGGGACCATGTTAAGAGAAACCTCACTGCTAACAGTACCATGGTGCTAACTGGACCATGTTGCTAAGAGAAACCTCACTGTCATCAGAACCACTCTGCCAATAGGACCATGCTGCTGTAGATTTATTTATTTTTCACTTTTGGTGCCTTGCTTCTCTATTTTTGTTGGATGCTTTGAATAAATCCCAGTTTATATTAGTTTAGTTTGTCAGTGCTCGCATTATTTTTTCATTTTTATTTATCCTTTATTTATACAGGTAGTCTCATTGAGCCACGAGAATTCATTTTCAAGAGAGACCTGTTTAGGGAGCAGATGGTGGGGGGGGGGGGGGGGGGGGGCTTGCTCACGAGCCCAGAGTGGGGCAAATGAGGGTGGAGGGAGGTGAGGGTGTTCCACCTTTTCTGCACACATTTTGATGTTGACTGTACTGGGAGTTGAACCTGTGACTTTTTAAGCGTGTAAATTATAGCTGAACAGAACCTATGAGAATCGTGCTGCTGCTGTTCGGTGTATTGTTTTGCACTATTAGTGACTGACATGTATCTTAGATCTTTTAGCATTTGGCGTTCGTTTAGCGTATATCTTAGTTTATATCTCAGATCCTTATTTACTTTCTTTTTTACACTTTGTATTTTTGCTATTGTTTGATGTAACTGGGACCCTGCGTACACGATTTAGTTCCACCTCATGTACCACGTGATGAGACAAAGAGACTCTGACTCTGATTTACCTCACTCCTGTTCAGCCAGCCCCTTTGCCTTGTGTTGACATTTGTTCAAGAAGATATCAGGTTATCTTTATTAATTAAAAGGGTCAAAACCAGATCGTTTATTGAAATAAAAACAACAAAAACACTCAACAACTTCCCGAGTAGTCAGCTGGTTGCCTAGCAACTGCTCAGAACCAACAAACAGTGGCTAAACATCCTTTCTGTGGCGCTCTAACAATCAGGAAGCTGCAGAATGAGGACAGAGGCTGTTTCTTGGTGCTTCTTGATGAATACTAAATAAACATTCTTTTTAAACCACTCACCCTGTTTTCTGTCAAATTTCTCACAACTCATAAATGAATTATAAAATATTGTAGTGACTTATTTATCAAAGGTGATTTTTTATTGCATTCTACTCCACAGGAACCTGTTCTCCAGCCCAGATGGAAGCTGTTTCACAGCTGCATCCAGAAACATCTGTAAGCTGTCATCTCAGCTTCACCGGTGACACTGTTGACTTCTCTGCTAATGATGTCTTCAAAACACAAGTCGGCTTCGACTCCAGCACCGGTGAGACTGATCTGAATCAGGCCAGAAATGACTTTTATGTTTAGAGATTTGCAGCAGTGTTTTGTTTTGTGTACAGAATATGAGCAGGATTAAAACCTTCTGATTTAATCCACATACAGTGCTAATGCAACCTGGATTTAAGTCTGTTGAAACGGGCATCACACAGATTTATTATGGTGCTGCTGCTGTTTTTATTCAGATGTATTTTATTGTAAATTCATATTCAAAGACTTGTTCAGAATGCTCTAAATTTTGCATGTTCCCTCTCTGCTGCTCATTGTTTGGCTTTCTTGCTTTTTTTTACTCATTCTGTGTTTTAAAAACGTTTCATTGAAACTTAAATGCTGTTAAACAAGGCAACAGGGCAGGAAACTACTGTTTACCATGGACGTAAAACATTTGTTTTTATTTTCCTCCATCTAATTTCATATATATAGACATTCAAATTATTATTTTTTACCTTTTTAGAAAACTGTTCTGCAGAATAGACCTGCGTTAAAATCTAACAGTTTATGACAACGCTCTGCATGAGGGGCAGGACGATACCGTTTACAAGGACCTAATCAATACCTGTGTTGCCCAAGGAATAGAGTTTAGCAGGAGCTGTAGAAAGTGTCCAAGTGATGTATTGAACTGAGGAGAGGCCATGTTGCCTGAAAGCACTGATGTAATTGTGTTTGGGGTTTGGGACTCGCCCCTCTTGTTAGTTCCTCTGTTGGGATCTACATGTGTACAAACCTATGAACACCTGACTTGATCTCTAGTCTTGAACTGCTCCGCGTCATTGTGAAGGAATACTCTACAAGGGGTGTTACGTGTGGCTAGTTTGCGTGTTGCATGTTTTGACGTCAGGTATCTGTTTTTCTTTGCTAGATCTTGTTCCAGTTAACTGCGTGGTTTATAGATCCATTTTACCTCTGTCTCTCTTTGCCTCAGGCCTCTACACGTGTTCTGTGACCTTGCAGCCTATGACTGACCAGCAGACCCGTGTGCTCAGCTTGTCCATGACCAACCTGCTGGTGAAGGCAGGCCTGTTAGGCAGCGTCTTCACCGGGGAACAAGTCAGCACCAGGCTGCCCATAGAGCCGAGCCTGTACTCGGACCAGACCGAGCTGCTGCTCTCAAACATGCACCCGTCTGCCGAGTTCACCGTTTATGGACCCATCACCACCCTGTTGAACATGGAGGTCAGACATCATAGGCAAATATGTTACAGAAGATGTCTGTGTCCCTAAAGGTCACATGTAATGATTGTTCCTGTCTTTAGGTGGTGTCTGCCTCTCCGAGCATTGTAGTTCAAGAGAAGGAGGTCCACCATGGCTACCCCAGCTACTCAAAGTACACCGTTAGTGCTGTGAACCCCCAGCCAGACTCTCCAGCTTCTGTTACTATAAGCAGCTCCTCCTCTGGCCAGAGTTTTGTCATCCCAGTCACTTTTGTTCATGTAGCTGATTTCAGCACAGCCAAGCAAGGTCAGATGTTGTTTCAGCGCAAATTTCAATTTCAAAACCCGTTTCTAACTAAATTAGTGAGAATCATTTGTAGAAGACAGCAGCTTCAGCCCGTGTAACACTCGGCATTATTCCACTCTTGTACAATTATCTGATCTTATGGGTCATGCTGTCTGACTGCTTCTCGTTCATTTCTCCACAGCAGCATCTTCAGCTGGTGTCATGGAGGAGGGCCACTCTCTGCACAGCTTCATAAACTCGTACCAGATGATGTTCTGCACCTTGTTTGCTCTGCTGGCTGGTACAGCTATAGTCATCATCGGTGGGTCCTCTCATCTGTCCTGGACAGAGGAGCTCAAATATTCCGTTTTTAGTTTTCGTTTAGTCAGTAGATGTTTGTTTTCCAGAGTAATGACAGTACTGTGTGGAAATGAATGTTGTTTAGGCCAGATATTTAAAAAGGGCAATAAATGGATAAGACTAGTCAGCGGTGGTGATTTTAGCCTCTATTTGGGGTGCTGGAGCAGCCCTAAATTTTAATTTGGTACCCCTGAAAATTTTAAGAAACCATCATTAGGATTTTGTAAGGAAGTTTAGTTCTCAACCTTAGATTCACTGAAATATTTAATAACATTGTAATAAATATGAAATAAATGATGACAGTCTTAAATGGGCCAGTAAAATTTGAGGTTTTGATTTACACGAGTTGGATCCTTGACGCCACCTGTCAATCTGTCCAGTAGGCTCGTCAGCAACTGACCGGTCGACAACCTCAATTTCTCCTGAAGTGAAACACCCCTTGCTGGAGTGTTGTTGGAGGGGGGGGGAGTAAGATGCCTGAGAAAAGTGGAGTACTACATCTGGACAACATCTTAGCTAACGCTTCTGTATTGTGTGCCGCAATACATTTGTTGGCAATTGTCAACAGGGGGTGTGTTAAGGATTTGTGAGAGAAGCAGAGAGTGCTCTATTCATACAAGGAGAGCTGTTGGTCAGGTTACATCTTGTTGCTCTAAAATAGTTATTGACTGAAGTGTTTACTTGTGTAGGTAAACGTAGATGTTTAACAACCTGTTAAAATACACCAGAATGAAGGAAATGGAATTTAGTTTATTCAAAATTTTCTCAGGGAGGCCCCCCCACCCCCCCCCCCCCCGCCTCCCCCCCCCCCCCCCCCCCCCCCCCACATTACAAATGCTTCTGATGTCAATGGTCACTATTATGTTCAAGCCAAGAGCCACTGTCAACACTGGGGGCTAAACACCCCTAAAGATCAGATTCTAGAATTGCCCCTGGTAGTTGGTCAAAAGCCACTGCAGGTGAACTTAAAGTAAATAATTTAGTATAAAGTCGATCTTTAATCACTTCCATCAAGTCGGATTCTGTACTGGATTGACATCAGTTTATTGATTTAATCTTGCAAAGATATTTTCACTTCATCTTGAGAAGTTCTTTGTCAGCCTGGGTCTTCTTTTTTTTTTTTTCTGGTCTGAATCCTGTTTGTGTTATTCACAAAACTCCCCGAGAGCTTCGAGTTACCTTTGTGCATTTGTTTGCTTATTTTCTCCTCACTTTTAGTTTCTTAAAGTTGTGCACTGTCACACTTGAATGTTGGATTATTCAGACTTGACCAGAAAAATAAAAGCCTTTGTGAGACTGAAGCTGATGTCTCTGCTCGCACCCCACTGAGCTAATCAACTTGGATGGCCAGGAGCGCTCCGCTGCACATCCTCGCACCGCGCCGTTTCACCGTCCGAGTCCGGCCTCATCGTGTGCTGCACGTCTGATTGGCTAAAGCAAGACACTGAACCCCTCACTGCCTCCGATGTGTGTCCCGTCAGTGTATAAATGTGATAAAGCTCTGATTAATATTTGTATAGTAGAGAGCTGTATGAGTGGGTAAACAAGGGCACAAATTGTAAAGTGCTTTGAGTATCTTGATTAATAGAAAGGCTCTATATAGTACAGTCCGTTTACTCATAATTTAATACTTCCTGGGCCAGAAGGAATCTGCGTTGGCCCCCGTACAGCCCAGGGGCCGTCAGTTGAAAATCACTGATCCCTAAGCTGCTGATGTCAATAATTTAGTTTTTACTGCAAGAGTTGCTGTAACATTTGGTGTGAATGTGACTGTTTGTAACTGAGTGCGTTCAGGAGAACACAGCTGCGTCAGGAGCGGTCGACGCGTTCTTTCAACCTCAAGTTCTTCTGGTTTCCACCACGGTTCTGTTTGTGACTTCAAACGATCTCCTAAAACAGCTCTGACGTTTGTGTTTTCTCTGTTTCCCCTGCAGTCCTCCACTCGCTGTTCTCTCCAAAGGAACCAGCGTATCACCCCGCGTTCATCCAGAGGACACCACCGCCCGTCACAGGTAGAGCAACGTCGGCTTTTACTCGAGCCGAGACTCGTGAACGTGCGATGCCGCTCGACTTTAAACATCAAGTCTGGCTTTTAGAAACGCATCAAGCAGAATTTTTAAACGCGTTAGAAAAACTCCTGCTGGTAAAATGCTCACGGCACAAGGGATGGGGGGAAAACAAAGATTGTGAAGAAACAGTCCTGTTTTCAGACGATCTTCTGTCGTGTTTTTGTACTTGTACATTTCTACACACGTATGTACACACAACAATTATCCTTCTCGTAGATTATGCAAATGTTTTTAAAACACGTTGAGCCCCGGGCTGTGTGCCTTATCGCCCACCACTATGAAAAGCAAGCAGTCACACTGCCTTTTGTGTCTGTCTGTTAGCAAAATATCTTTAAACCCATTGGAAGCATTTTAGTGGGCGGTAGCTTAAACTTGTCGGCACTCAGTCAGATTAACAGATCTCGAGCGCTTTGTTTAAAATGTTAACGTTTCTTCAAAAGGATGCTTCTTTCATTTCCTGACTGTGTAAACTCGGGCTCTTTCAGGGTTTGACTCTCCGTTAACAAATTCCTTCAACCACGCGCTCCCAAGGACCAGCCCGAGCAGCAGTCCTAGACCACGTCTCTACTCTCCAGACTACAAATCCTGATGAGCTGCTGTGTTCACCATGACAACACCGCCGGCCATTAATGCAGACCGAACGTGCACCCTCAGGATGAAGACGAGACGCGTTCGGCCTCAAACGTCGGTACAGAAATGCAAAAGCTCGTTGTTTCTCGAGATTATAAGATGGAACGATGCAAGTGATTACAGGGCTAATTAGAGTGTTCCTTGTTTTTGTGTGCAAGTGACTGTGCGTGTGCTAAACTATACACAGCATTTTATTTTGCCATGACGTGTTTTTTTTTTTTCCTCACAAAGTACCACTTGATTAATGACTGATTGTTTTGCTTCAGATCAATGTATTAGCTCGTCTTTGACATTTCCTCGTGTGCTACTTATCGTATTTGACATGCGAGCGTCAGGAACTCAGGAAAAAACCAAAGCTGTTTGACGTAAAACATACTGACTTGTATTTATTTTTCTGGGCATGACATGACCTTTGTTGTAGCGTGTACGATTGAAAACCTCGTCGTCCACTGGATCCGTCCTCCTCTGTGATGAAACGCGTTTTTATTTTGAGCGGCAGTGAAACTTGTTTCGTTTGACCTTTCTGATGTTTTGAGCCTCGAACTTGCAGCGTTTTTCAGCTTCATCAATGTGAAACAGACAAAATTTGAGCCTTCGTTCAGTTTTTATCCGTTCTTTTATTTTGCCTAAGCTCTTAAATGTGATCAGGTTCAGTTTGGAAAATGTGAAGCCTTTTCTGTTCGTTCCCAGACACGTTGAAGGGATGACGAGCAGCGCTGTCGAGTTCCTGCTACTTTAAAGTGTGACTTGGTTTTAAATGACATATTTTTGTATTTGCGTTAAAAAAAGAAGCTAAACTGTATTTATGTTGGCCAGTTTGTTTCTAAGATTCATGTTTTTGCCTTACAATCACATCTGAACAGCTTCCAGACACAAGTGTGACTGACTGTATGAGTATGTGCTAATGCTAATTAAAGTTTTTACTTTTTATGTTAAGTGTTTGTCTCTGTTGTATTGTCCAACACAAACTTTTACACCTTTGTTATTTTTGCATGATACGATTTATTCTTTTAGAATCATTTGTAGTTGGGAAGAGAAGCAGCGGCTAGCTGTAGCACTTCTGGTGCAGCCTGGGACATTTTGTCATATTTTCAAAAAACAGCATACGGTAATTTAGCAGCTCTTGGTTATAGCAAAACCAGTTTGCAACAAGGAGTGAAATAGGCTCAAAAGTAAATTTCTTTCAATTTAATTCAGTTTATTTGTATAGCGCCTTGTCCCAACAGAAGTCATCTCGGAGCACTGCACAGAAACATTCACATACATGAACATTCAATTAGTAACATTCTTTATCTAAGGTAGGGCAGGGTGGGCAGCAGATTGCACCGAGTCTTCATTTTGTCACAGTGTCCCATCCTGAGCAAGCACAACGGCAACAGTGGAAAGGAAACCCTCCCTTTTAACAGGAAGAAACTTCCAGCTGGACAAGCGGCCATCTGCCTCAACTGAAAATGAGGGGAAAAACTTTCTGCTAATGTGCGACGTGAACGACTGCTGAAACTTTCTGAAGAAGTCATAACTGCCTCTGTTGATAAAATAAATTTAGCAGAACATCTAAAACCTGTTAAAAAACAGCTAATATATAAAACTGGCATAGCATTAACTAAAAAAGCACAAACTAGCTAAAAATATTCTAAACAAAGGGTAAAATCAGCTAAATGAAGCACAGGAAGACAAAAACTGGAAGTATGTAAAAGAAACTGTCCAGATGACCTGACTGAGTTATTGGATTTGATACCTGGATGATTGAGCATGAACTTTGTTGTTATGTTTAAGATTTCAAAGGGGAAATTGTTTTGAGGGATTTTAAGAGAACTTGGTGTATTTCTATGGGGGAAAGTGTTTTTAAAAAGTTACAAAAGCTAAAAGCAATGGCCTGCTCTTCCTGAACAAGCTGAAAGGTTAAAATAGCACAAAGTATGCAGACGGAGTTACCATCTGTAAAACGCAACAATCTATAAATGGGAAAACCAGCAGTCTGCTGAATGAGCACAAATCAAATGAAAGACTAAACTTTAATAATATATTTCTCTTGAATGGTCATTAAATGTTTACATGAACGATTATGAAATAAAAAAAAAACGTATTTTTTGGAGTATAAATAGCATCAATAAAAAAAAGCATTATTGCTTCAGCGTATAAGTCGCATTTTTTATGGGTCACTGCTGACCAATCGCGTTTATTTAATGGTCAAAACGATTTAATTTTGCCTGGGCTGTGCGGTGCCGTCCATCCACCGTGGCTGGAGCCAGTAGCTCTCTAGTGTTCCTCCTCCTGCACCAGCCGAGTGAAGCGAGCGCGCACGGATAACTCGATGTTGCAGTTCTTCAAAATTGAAAGCGTCGGTCAAAAATTGCCTTATGACTATGAAAAAAGAAAGTATTTTAAGTCGCTTCGGCGTGTAAGTCGCAGTACTGACAATTCTATGCAAAAAAACTGCGACTTATACGCCGGAAAATACTGTCGTTTTTTCAAAACAAAATCAATCCATTTTGGTCTTAGACTAGCCTTTAGCTCATCAATCCAGTCAGAATTAAACCCGTTTTTCAAAAACTGATTGTTTAAAGAGCTATCTACAACAGGTAAGATATTTCCAACTAATTTCTTTTGGAAGCTGAAAACACTTCTTGACATAAAAAACTGCATAATCTTTTAATTGATGTTTGAAAGTCTCACAGGTCATTTATTTCTCATTTGAAGGCTATCATGTGTCCTGTATCATTAAGTGAACGCTTCTGCCCCCTGAGTGGGACGAGCTCGGAGTATAATGTGATCGCATGCTTCTTATTCTCAGAGGAGGTGTTAGTTCAGGCCTGGAGTCAGGCCTGAACGCTCCGAAAGTCCCGCTGCAGGCTGTGGACACACAGGGGGTCAGAGGGGGGTTCTTAGGATAACACGGTTCCCAGGATGTGATGCGTTGAGAATAAACCAAGCAGCCGTTTCACTCGGCAGCTGCTCGTAGGAGAAACTGGAAGCAAACAAGTTTCGATGAACTGTCTGCTTCAGTTAAAACGCAGCAAAAGGCAAAAGTGGAAATGACCGTTTTTTCTTTCCTCCCATCTCCCAGAGGATGCCACAAAGGTTTCCAGTGTGGCTGCAGGTTATAAATGATTAAAGCAGTTATCTGGGCTTAAGTGACACTCAATTTATTCTTTCCATTGAGCCACACAGGCTGTCCAAACCGTCGTCGCGTCAGCCTGTCGAGCTGATTCTGCCGTGTCCTGGTGAAGGGAAACCACTGCTGTTCCAGATGGCTTCCCGTGCTGTCAGGAGGTGATCAATGAGGGCCCGAGCTGGGGGAAATGGTGAGGTGGATTCTGGAAGACTGGCTGTGAAAAATACACCAGCAAAGAAAAAGTCTGAATTATTTCTATCAGCTTTATGAAAGCTTTAAACCAGGGGTGTCCAAACGGTTTCATCAGTGGGCTAAAAGTATCCAGATGAAAGGACCCGTGGGCCACAAAAATGTGAATTTAACTTTTGGGGGAGAAAGTTTTAAATTCTTGAAGACCCAAAACATTAAAAACCTCATAAACGCTAAGTTTATATATATTTTTTTATTAAAAACGATTTGATTTAGTTGATTTGTTGGTCTATGTTTGCTGTTTTCTTGTGTTTGGAAAGTTCATTTTAGTCTGTTCTCAGCAACAAAAGCGTAATTTGAGTATGTGTCCTTTTAAAAGGGGGTCGATCAGCCTTTGGGACCATGGACGGCCCCAAAGGCTGATCGAAGTTCTGAAAAATCGCCCAGCTGTCAGTCGCTGCAACAGATTCATAGAAGGTTTGATTAAGTTGATCAGCTCGTATGTAGATGACACCACGTTATATTCATTTAAAAATGACCTCTTGATTATTTTATCAACTGCAACATTTAGCCAAGTTTAATGACTCATTATCCAAAAGTCTCCTTTCTGGAAGAAACCAGTAAAGGTTTTTTGGTGCTTTGTACCATGAAGTGAAAATAAAAAGATTATAGCCATTTTGTTTAATATTGCTCATTTTGAGAAGATCGTTTTTCATACGTTTTGTTGTACCAACTAATTTGCAGAAAGTCTGCATCGACCTCTTAAGCCTGCTGGCTAAAATGATATCATTCTTAAACTGCAGTTGTGGGCCGCACAAAATCACTCCAAGGGCCGCAAATGGCCCTCGGGCCACATTTTGGACACTCGTGCTTTAAACCATCCGGGGACACAAAGTCATTGTATTCAGTTTTAGATTCCATTTGTGTCATTTTGTTATTAAAGGTCTTCTTTTTATTAAAGTTTTTTTTGTATTTGTGTTTCATTTGTTGCGTTTTATTCTGGCTTTCTGTTTGAAACAAAGCGTCATCATAAACGCTGTCTGGTTCATACCTGTACATTCTCCGTCCATTTGTGATTTAGATTCACATATTTTTGTTCGTATAAATAAGCCACAGTTTCACACCTCTGGGCCTCCATACTATTAGCTGTGCACGTCCTCATGGTAGCGTGTAACGGCCCTCCTTGGGCCCTTTACACAGAAAAACCTCCAGTGCTTCATCTGCACATGGCGTTCTTGTTTTGCTGCCCGCCATCTCTGGTTTCCTGTTGTTCTCTCGCCACATTAAAACTCAGTTGTTCTTCAAATCGTTCAAGCTCAGCCTTCAGGTGGAACAACATGAAGGTAAAGCCCCCAGTTTCATGGACGACGCACTCGTCGTCCCTGACGGCACCGGAGCCAGATCGCAGGAATGCAGCGTTTCCACGAGGCTTTGAAAAACGAATCAAAAGAAAATGAAAGGAGGGATAACTGGAGCAGCAGTTTTTAATACCTGCTCTAAAGAGTGGGTGCATGTTACTTTGATATCATAAGCACAAACTGCAGCCGAGGTGGACTAACCCTGAGGCTTTGAGGCTACAGCCCTCGTTGTTTTCTGAATAACATGAAAAAAATTACAAAGAAAAATACAGAGCTATGTTTTTTTTTATTTTTCAGAAACAGGAGCAGCATCTGCTTCATGCTAC